CAACCAACTTCTTCTAAAGAATCGGCTAGGTCAACGCACTTCGTGTTTCTGAAGCGTGTGGGTTCCTTAGCGTTCTATTGGGAGATGGAGCAGCTTTCTGGGATTTCTGTGCTCTTCGTCAGCCGCCCGTAGCCCTGCGGGGCCTGCAGTGCAGCTGGAACACACACGGACTGAGGGCAGCTCGAGTTTGGTCCTCGGGTGGCAAAATCTTCAACCTCTGGTTTTTTTTCATGAAATCAAGAACATGGCCAAGCATTTGGCCAGCTTCGGAAAACCTGAGTTCTCTGTCTTTGTTTTCTTAAGCTGTAACATAATAAGCCATATGATGGCTTCTTAAAATACTTCTTCTTTTGCGTAGTTTCCCTTTGATAGCAACTGCAGGAGATGGCAGCTGTTGATCTCTTTATTCCATATGTTCTTGTCCTCCCTGCATGAAATCGTGGCTAATCTCTGATGGGTAAAGTGGAAGTATTCATATGCAGTGTCTTAAGAAGTGAATGTTACCAGTGGTAGGTCTATCTGATCATTTGGAAGGTGCTGTGAGAACGTATCGTATAATACTTAAAGGTAATGTGCTTCCCCATTGAGTTAGGAGGGAGAAAAAAAATAAGGCTGATCTGGAAAATGAGCACAGTTTCTAAGGAAAAAACACAGGCATGCTCAAAACTAACTGTGTAACACTTCAAAGTAGTCTAAAGACTTGAAATTCTTGTTGAAACTTTCTTGTGTCTCTCTCGCCCTTCTCCAGGAGCCCAAAATCAAGAATGGTTCTAGTGTGCAGTCATTAAAAAAAAAACGAAATAACCCCCCCAACAAGTTATTGTTGCAGGAGTTAATGCGAGTATGTGCTTGGCAAAAACTTAGAAGACAGTTTAGTCTTGTATTTGCCTTGTTGGTCATCTGCTTCTGCTTTCCTCTGATAATGTGAAGTAGATATAATGAGGTTTTAGATAGTTATATATCTATCTGTGGATTGAATGAGGGCCGCTTACTGTCTAGGCAAATACAAAGTTTAGTCTTTTGAGAACTGCTGTTTTATAGCTCAGACTTGCACTAGGGGTAAGCAAAAATACGTTCAGTGTTCCTCCTGCTAAGCACTAGCATTCAGATCCAACACTTGTCTAGACTTTGTTTTTATTTCTAACTTCAGGCACTCAGAATGTCTTGAAATGTGTTCTTGGTTAATTTTTGATAGAAAATTGGTGAGGTAAGAAGGGCTGTTTCATGTATACCAAAGTCACCTAGTTAATGTGGATGCTTTCATGGAAAACATAATGTAATTTCTAAAAAAAAAAACCAAACAAAAAAAACCAAAAACCCACCCCAAATCACACTGAGTTAGTGCAGCATTGTCTACTTTAATACATCAAAGCAGATTACTGCCTAATTCTTAGGAGATGATGTTGGCTTTTTTACAGATCTTAGTGACTTTCCTGTAGAGCCACTTACATGTTTTGCAGCGTCTTGTAAGAAATGGTTGTGCAAGGTCCAGGGATGATCTCTCCTAGTTTCTTGCTTTGGGTGCTGGTCAAAAGTTTGTGCTCGGGGAACGGCGTCAGAAAATGTTTCCAACAAACGTTTGGTGCTGATGGTGGGTTGGTGCCTGGAGTGGTGTTAAACATAAACTTGTAATATCTGCTCTGTCTGCTGGCACCCGAGGCAGATGGTATGAAGAGCCACTGTCACTTCAGCCTGGTAGTGCTCTCTTCATTTGCTGAGAGGACTTGGAGGCGCAGGAAGAGGAGGCAGTAACTAAGTACCTATTCCCTCTCACCAACCAGAGGGATGCTTTAGGCCTTGTGTTATATCCCATTGTTGTTTCCTTTCACCCTTCTTTGCTCTGTTATTTCTGTTGTTACTGGTTATGTGGTAAGTTATAACATGTATAAAGCAATACGTAGGGTTTTTTTTGGCAAATCACAAATCTGAAACCAGATGGAATAAATTTGTTTGAAAGATTTATTGTTTTGAAGTGTGGTTTAAAATTTTTTAACTCTTCTAAAGTGAAATCAGTGATTGGAAACTGAAGTGACAGGAATTCAAGTTGTGTTTGCAACAGAAAGGTTTTAAATATTTGTTAACGTTTTAGTGAAGTGGTAATAATGGTAATTACGCTCTGTACCTTTTTAATAAATGTTTTTTCTGAGAGCTGTTTGTGGTTGTTGCTGACCTGATGCCAGTTATTTGCTAGACGAACAGCTGTCTTTTGTCATTGCTATTTCTTGGGTCTCTAATACATAATGGCTTTGTAACTTCGGGGGGGAGCACAAATGATTTTCCCCAATGTATAGTGTATGGCTGCAAGTAGGTACCACATTTAAAATGGAGTGTCCACTGATTTATGTAATTCTTGTTATTCCAGAGTTTTCTTGGAAACTTGTTTGCTCCTGTTTGTGAGATCGATGTTATTCTCAATGATGCTGAAACACGAAAAACAGCAGAAATCAAAACAGAAGATGGTAAAGTAGAAAAGCATTTTCTCTTCTATGATGGAGAATCTGTTTCAGGAAAGGTAAATTTCTTTTTTGAAGTGACTGTTATTTACTGCACTGATTGTGGCATGCAAATGCATACAGGAAGGTAAATGAAAATCTGATATAAGAAAGAGCTGTGATTTTAACTTGTGTTATTATTCAGAGAGGAAGCAGTGTTTTCCTATATATGGTCTCCTCAACCATAGTCATTGGGGCAACTGATAAAACAGAACCTTTTGAACAGTAGCTATTTATTTGTTTCTGATCATCTTGTATTTTTTCATAAACTTCTTGTGCAGCCGTGTGCAATCCTACCATTGCTTCTGACAAAAAAAAACAACATTGCAAACTGGATCCCCCTGCTTCCCCTTCTCCTTGAGCTCCAAAATCCACAACCCAACATGTGTAAGAGTAATTATTGGCCGGTGCAGCCAACCTGCTTTGGATACCCTGGAGCTAAGCCTTGCATTTTGTACCCTGAAGTGGTTTCTGGAATTGCATCAGAGAGGCAGCATATGAAGTTCAGCTGGCTGCTGAGTCAATAAGAGTTTTTCTTGGGGAGGAGAGGAGAAAGTTAGAAAAATTGCCAGATGGATTTCTCTCCTTCTAGTATTGCACCTAGGAGCTCATTGCCTTCATCTGACTTGACTGGAGCTGTTCTCACTCCCTGAATATTTCTAATTCACTTTTCCTCCAAAACACTTGAGCCAGGGATTGGCTTCTGAGATTGACTTCTGAATACCTACTTAAATCTTGACTGACATGTTTTCACTGGGCATCTTCTTTCTCTTAAGGTATCTTTCCCTGCTGAGGTCTTTCTTCTCTAGAAAGATCCTTTCAGGGATTTGAAACTCTCACAAAGGTGAAGGAAGCAGCTTCTATATGTTCTCTGGCCTGAGAGCTTGTTTGTGTCAGCGATGCCTGAGAAATGCCTGATGAGTTTTGGCTAACACAGGCACAGTGGAATGAGGAGGTCTAGAACATCAGTAACGTACTGGACAAATTCCCTCTACCTCTCTTGTCCTTTTCACCACAAAGAATATTCACATGGTTTACTTCCTATTCAGATATCAATGATACACTGGATGGTAAGGTACAGGAATATCTCTGTCACTGCCTTGTAAGAAAACATTATATGTGCTTAATATTTACATATTTCCATAGAAAAAACCTTATAGAATGTTTTCTTGTGAGGTCTGTTTGAGAATCAAATTACAAATGAAGATCTTGATAGTAGGTGTCATTATCTGCTATTTCTCATTGAGTTATCTAACACTGATACTTCGCTCTCTGCTGAGGAAGGGACTTAAGTTCACTTGACTTGAAAGGAATGCATCTCATGACAGTTTGTTTTTGGATTCCCAGTGTGACTGTCAGAAGATGCTTTGAAGCTCTCTGTCTTCAAAGATGACTGGCTCATGTGGACTCTGCTGAAGCTCTGGCTTGGATTCTTAATTTCGAGACTCAGAAGTTTCAAACTTAGTTTTTAAATTCAGCCTTGTGCATGATTAGATTTTTCTTAAATGCTTTAGTAGTATTTTGGTAATGCTTAATTTTGTGATCAGCTGTTTCATTTGGTTGTCTTGTAGCTCAGGTAACGCTGTTGAGAAGTCTCAATTTTCATAGGCATGTAGTAATACGTTTTCATTTTTACTGAGATCACGTGTTGGAGTGAAAGTGTCAAAAAAATTTAACCAGTGGGGTTTTTTTTGCCTTGGTAGGTGAACATCTCCTTTAAGCAGCTGGGGAAGAGACTGGAGCACCAAGGAATTAGAATTGAATTCGTAGGACAAATTGGTGAGTTTAAGCTATAAAGGGGATGTTTAGGTGGTTGTGGTCTATGGAACTTGACACTTGTGACTGTTGTCGGTTTGGCTCAAACGTTGCAACCTGGTTGTAATATAGTGATGTGCTAATTTGTGCTGGCCAGAAAGTTATTGGGAGGAAAGATTAGGTATACTTGTGGGAGAACTGTGATGGTGAGAATTCCACCTGTCTCAGACTGGTTATAAGTTTCGTAGAACCACTAGAGATTTCTGAAAACTAAACTTTTGCCATTCAGTTCTGGCTCTGAAAGACAAGATGTATAGAAAAGATGTTATGGGGCAGCCTGTAGCAAAATACATCTAAAATTCTTTGGTGGTTGGCTTTCTAAAACCTAGTTTTATACTATTAACATGAACCAATATTGATGCTTTGAAGGGTCTCTGTGCTTTTTAGCAAGATAATATGGTATTGGTACTGAAAATGTCATTTTCTTATAACTGTATCTGTTTGGTTATATTTGAACTATGAAGAACCTTGATCACTTCTAACTTATTCTTACCAGTCAAGGTAATGTCTCTGCACCCTTAGGCTGATGCTAAAATTCCTTTCCTCTCTTTTAGAGGACTATTTGCATTATTGCCCCCCTTGAAAGCAATTCTTTAAGTTTCAGCCTCGTTCAATTGACTTTTATTGGAATTTAACAAATTCTCTATTTCTGATCAGGTCAGGAGGCCTCAGTATCTCATGCCTGAGCTGTTCTGTAACAGATACAACTGTGTTCTCACACCTGCTGCTTTATGCTTGGAGGTTTTGATCAGTGGGGCTGCAAAAGCAAACTTTCAGAATAAAGCAGTAATGTGATGGGAATGAGGCATTTAGAGGCAGGGGAAAAATGAAGCTGATGCACGCGAGGTTTGTTTAGTCTGTTGTCTTCTAATAGCTGTACAGCCTGTTCTACATCTACTCTGATGTACAAATTTTCTTCTTTAAATAATTTGAGTTTGATGTAGCATTTCTTGAAGTTTGTGTGGTTGGGGACTTTCTGTTACGCTGTTTAGAAGTCCTCAGTGGTATGCAAAAAGCTGCTGCTTTTTGTACTTGTCCATGTTTTCTTGCACCCTGTCAAGTTTTAATATAGCAATATGAAAAGCATCCCAGGAGTGTGATCTGTTTCTGCACTCCTTGGAGACTAGCTCCAGCTGCATATCAAAGATAGATTTTTAAACTAGCTCTTCAGAATACACGTTTTCTGACACACAAAAAGTTTTGGGAATGCAACAGTAAATTAAAAAATTTCTATTATAAAATGCTTGTCATAGCGAACAAAGTACATTAGTTCGTAGTCATATTAGAAAACAAGCAGTTACCAGTTAGTGTTAGTTTCTTCCCAGCTGGCAGTGATAAACTGTGCTGTGTTCAGTTCAGCTTTTTACTTCTGAGAAGCCTCAGTCTGTGTAAAACTGTCCCTAATACCAACTAAAACTGTGAAGGCCAGGTCGGACGGGGCTTTGAGCAACCTCTGGTGGGAGGTGTCCCTGCCCATGGGAGGGGCTTGGAACAAGATGATCTTTAAAGTCCCTTCCAACACAAACCATTCTGTCGTTCTGTAATGCTCTTAGCTGGTGTTTTCAGTTGTGAATTGTAGAGAAGCTTGAGTTTATATACTAAAGTGTTTAGATTTTTTTTTTTTTAAATGGTAACATTAATTTTTTTTCGAATTGGCTGACTTTTTATCTCTGCGAGACTTGCATGACATAGATTTAGGGCTGAACAATAGCGACACTGGCCTGGGGACAGGAGATGCTGTTGCTGCTGTGTCTATGCTTATGTATTAAGAATTTGTTCCAAATGACTGATTGAGACCAGTGGTCATAATAAGCTGTTTGATTGTAGACCAGTAATAAAGCATTCAGCCATTTGATAGGAGTTATTAATCTGTGGGTAACCAGTTAGAATTGCTGGCCTGTCCTAAATGAACCAGTCTTGGTGTTGCTTAGATTTTGTCCCTTCAGCAATAAATACTGGAAGCCAAAATCTTTCAGTGCTAATTATGGAGAATGCAAGGCAAGAAGTACTTATTAAAGCTAACTAAATGGCCATTAAGAAAACATGCCATGCTAGTGAAGCTTCAGATATGTGTTGTTTGTTGCTGTTAGCTCTTTAGAAATGCTTACTGTAAGTTGCTGCAACTGAAGGTAGCTTTGAAAAACTGGGTAAAACGTGGTCAAATATGTGTAACTTAAGTCAAATGAATTGCTTCTGTTGCACCCTCCCAAATTAGAGACAGTTTTGTTTGCTGAAAATGAACACTGAAACATGTTTTCCTTAACTTCCTCAATTTTAGAGCTCTTCAATGACAAAAGCAATACCCATGAATTTGTAAACTTAGTGAAAGAACTGGCCTTACCTGGAGAGCTGACCCAAAACAGAAGCTATGAATTTGAATTCATGCAGGTTGAAAAGCCATACGAATCCTACATTGGTGCCAACGTCAGACTGAGGTTTGTAATTGTTAACCCTCTACTCCTCTCATCCCCAGCAGAAAACGGATAATTTAGCAGTTATGTGCCCCCCACCCCTTACTCCTTTTAGATTTCAAATGTAACAGCCAGTAGCTAGCGTGCTTTGATTGGAGTTGTCGAGATCATGTTGTAATGTAGCCTTTTGTACTTTACTTGGAATGTCTCTGTGTTGGTTTTATCTATAAAATTCTTTCAGTTCAGTCAAGTGAAGATAGTCCTTGTCTCTCCTTTAACAACACACCACAACCAAACACAACACCCCCACATTTCTACCTCTAAGTGTTTTGTCTTGGGTTTTGGTGTCTTATTCTTTTCTACTTAGTTTTACAAGAACGTACTCTTTTCTTTCAAAGAATACCTGTACTTCAGAACATAAAGGCTTTTACTGGTGCAGTTTTGAATAATTTGGGCTAACTTAGTGGCTTTCTTCCTAGGTATTTTCTAAAAGTGACGATAGTGAGGCGGCTGTCAGACTTGGTGAAAGAATATGATCTGATTGTTCACCAGCTGGCGACGTACCCAGATGTAAACAACTCCATTAAAATGGAAGTAGGCATTGAAGACTGTCTTCATATAGAGTTTGAATACAACAAGTCAAAGTAAGTGTTACTTAGAACAAAACACATTTAAGTAAATATCTTGGGATAAAAGGGTGGAAGATGTAATATTTGAAAAATCTCGTCATCAGGAGACATAATGTAAAGCCGTATTTTCAGTGATTGTTGTGTTGAGTTGTTACTAATTACTAATTAATAATGGCCTTTTACTTGTCTGTTCTGCCTTCAGTACTAATAGGAAGGTCACTGAGAAATATTTAAGACTTGATTTCTGCATTTATGCTTTTAAAATTTTTATTATTTTCAATTTTTTATAATTTTATTATTCAATTTTTATTTTATGCTTTTTCAATTTTTACTAATACTGCAAATGTGCAAAGGTGCTAATTGCACTGGTGTGGCTTAGCTCAGTGGGAAAGTAAGCTCTAAGTAGTTAACAGGCAGATAAGGAGTGAAAGTTGTATTTATTCTTTAATGAAAACCCCCATTCTGTTCTTTTAAAGGTATCAATTAAAGGATGTGATTGTTGGAAAAATTTATTTCCTCTTAGTGAGAATAAAAATTCAGCACATGGAGTTGCAGCTGATCAAAAAGGAGATTACTGGAATTGGTAAGAGAAACAAAGTCCAAAAGAAATGGCAACTCCTATGCCAGTGGAGCCTTATAGAAACCTGGAGAGTGAAGTCAATAATTGCAGCTTTGGCTAAACCAATGCCCCATGGGCTTCTTTCTCACTGGTATCTGACTACCATTTATGTTTTGTGCTTTGGTAATCATACTTAGTCAGCATTGTCAGTCTGTAGCATTGGGGTTGTGAGTGTTGTGAACCCTTCTAAATGGATCTTGGGCATGCGCATGCAGCAGCTTAATCAGCCTTGACAGATAAAGAGCAAGGGAGAAGGTGTAAAATGCATCTGGAAGACCCCCTTGTCTCTGCCGAGATAAACTCGTAAAGTGGGCTTGATAAAAGTTAGCATGAATCTCTCATGTTCCAGAAGCATATTGTTTTTAGTCAGCCAAAAACTGGTATCGTGGAAATGTCATAGAATCATAGGGTGGTTTATGTTGGAAAAAAACCTTAAAGATCACCGAGTCCAACTGTTAACCCAGCACTGCCAAGACCACCTCTAAACCATGTCCCTGAGCACCGCATCTATGTGGCTTTTAAATACCTCCAGGGATAATGATTCCACCACTGCCCTGGGGAGCCCATTCCAGTGCTTGTCAACATTTTTGGTGAAGAAATTTTTCCTGATATCTGGCCTAAATGTCCCCCAGCACAACTTGAGGCTGTTTCCTCTTGTCCTATTGGGAGAAGAGACCAACCCGCACCTCACTACAACCTTCTTTCAGGTAGTTGAGGAGAGCGGTAAGTTCTCCCCTGGGCCTCCTTTTCTCTAGACTAAACAAGAGGCTTTGAAGAAAGACCAGCTTGATTATTGCAGGTCAGGCTTGTACACTCTGCAGCTAGGAAGGCAGTAAGAGGCTCTGGCTCTTGTCTTCGTTCCCCTAAGCGTGCTGCTTGTGTGGAGAATGAGAAAGCTTCTATAGCAATAGGACAAAGCTCTACTTTGTTATTGGGGTTTTTTAGCTAAATTGGGTGCTCTGGTTTCTTCATCCTAGGCTCTAGAAATAAGTATACGTTGTGCTGGGTGATAACCCATAAGTTTTTTAGTCTGATCGTGGCCTTGCAGTAGCAGTTGCTAGCCCTGCCCACCAAACACAACTGTTTGACAAGTCCTACTCTGCATGTCCCTTATTTAAAACCTTTGCACACCCAGGGCTCCGGTGAAGCACTGGCAGCTGCCTCTTCTCTGTCAGCGTGGGGAGGAGAGAGTCAGAAATAAATGCTCTGCCTGAGAGAGGGTTTTGCTCACTTTAGTTATGTGTAACTTACATGCGAGACACAGGCAAAAAATGCAGGGTTATGTTATTTAAATGCCATAGAGTAAAAATTGCTGCGATAAAGCTTTGTGAATGCTTAAAACTCAAGTGTGTTCTCACAGTGAAAACTTGTTTCACCAGGACCCAGTACCACAACAGAGACTGAAACCATTGCAAAGTATGAAATAATGGATGGTGCACCAGTTAAAGGTAAATAATGGTGCTTGTTTTAAAGGGTAAGCATTTTGAGTTAACCATACTTAAAAATCTGGAAAAGATAGCTTGTATAAATTTTTCTTGGAGAAAGCAGGCTTCTCCTTAGGTTGCTCAAATGATAGTGGATTTTCCTGTTCAAGGCAGACATTTTTATTGACTTAGGGCATTTTACTTGGCATCCTAGTAGTTCTTACCCTTATTTAGCATTGGAAATTCTGTGACTGATCCTTCTTTTTGCGTGTTTTCTGAAACTGCATTAATGACACCCAGTTTTAAGGAACTAATTGAAACTTTTTTTTTTTTAGGTGAATCAATTCCTATAAGACTGTTCTTAGCTGGCTATGACCCAACTCCAACAATGAGGGATGTGAACAAAAAATTTTCAGTGAGGTACTTCTTAAATCTAGTGCTTGTGGATGAAGAAGACAGACGATACTTCAAACAGCAGGTACGGGGTGTTGCGAGCATGTGTGTATGTGTCTCAGTCTTTGCCTTTTGGAAACTTAAGATACTTGATGCTGCCAGCTTAATGGCAACTGGTCATTTTAAAAGTGTTTGCTTCCTCAAATAGGAAATAATTTTATGGAGAAAAGCTCCTGAGAAGCTGAGGAAACAACGAACAAACTTTCACCAGCGATTTGAATCTCCGGAGTCACAAGCATCCGCTGAGCAACCTGAAATGTGAACTGGTATAAAGTGAAAAACTTTGCGATGCTTCAGCAGGTTAAAGATGGCAGCAGCCTGTGGGAAAAGAAGGCCAAAATTCCCATTACAACTGTCTTCCTTCATCTTGCAGTGCTGCATTTACCATACTACTAAAGCATTCTTCAGTTAAACATTCAAGTATGTATATACATTTAAAATAAAGTGCTTTCTCAAACACTGGAACTTTCTTAAGCTACTATTTTATACTGCACATTTCCTTTTATTTGATAATGTTATATGCACTTGGATATGCATAAGCCTAAATCTAGTTATTTCCATGCATGGTAGGCTGGCATATTTGATTTTTGCTGATCACTTATACAGTGTATACTAAAGCATTTCCCTTCATATTGTTTATTGCATGTTTCTTTCCAATGTTGCTTATTTGCATTTGTTTTGTTTTGAAACTACAGTAAGACACAATTGACTAAATCACACTAAAAATTGAGGTTTATGGTGAATTTGTCCTAAGACTTCTAATTACTGTGTTAGACAGGGTTTAACTGAAACTGCATGTATATGCACTATTAACTGTGGAGCCTGCAGAGACCTTACCAAGGTTTCTAAGAAGCTTTGAATCTGTTGATAGAAAAGAATGTCAGGAAGCATCTTTGCCCTCCCTCTCTCTTCTCCCTCTACCATACTTCTCTAAGCCTTTGATGTGACTCACTCCTGATGTTTGGCGGTTCAATTTTCCAGTAAGTAACTAGTGACTGTAGAGATGTTGTCATGATTTCACCTCCACGTGCTGAGTGGGTAAAGTATTTGACCGTAATTAACCCTTATTGATGAAATAAATGCTGGTAACATTGATTATTTTGCAAATACATGAAACTATGTGGTTCCTCCTGGCTTCATGCTTCTACTGTCTTCACAGTCTGTCTCTTCACTGCCCTGACAGGAGAGGTGAAACGTCCTCAAAGGACATCATTCTCCTGTCCCTCTGGGCCTGTCATGAGGGCAAGCAAGCTTTTTGGTCTTCTGGAAAGGTATTTTGAAGGCAGACAAGCATGAAAACCAGTAGAAGCTTGTCTGGCACAGCAGATTGTTTTGTGTTAATCATCTCATACATGTTTAGTGTTTGAAGAAATAGCTTAAAGGAGTTGGCTGTGTCCTCTGTTCACAGCTGAGCACGTCGTCCGTTGTCGGGCGCAAGACGGAGCCTGCTGTGCAGAAGGCTACTTGCGCTTGTGGATCACTTGGCCTTTAAACCAAGATTTGTCAACTCTGGTGCAAGTGTCATTGGTAACCTTACTTTATGAGTAAGCAAATAATCGAATTACATTTCTGTAAGAACTGTTTTATTACTGTGGCACTTTGATAAAGCAGACACAGACTCTGTGTACTTATTCTAGGATACTTCTAACGCGGGTGTCTCTGACCGAGAGCAAATTTAACTCCCTCATGTAAGTGCCTGTTCAGGAATTTAAAGAATAAAGTAAAAAGCCAAATATGTTCATGGTCACTTGCATGTTGAAAGCTGGAAACGAGTCCGAGAGGTTTTTGAGAACTTGATTGTGTATAACCAGCCTCAGATTGTGCAAATGCGTGTAATGACCGGGGAACACAGGGAGCTGCTCTTTGAATTATTAAACCAGCTCTATTCTCACTGGAACATCCGGGTCGTCTCTGATTGACAGCTGCCCCCCCGCCCTCTAAAGG